AAAAAACTAAAAATGCAAAAACTCTTGTATTCTATTTGGTTAGTTATGGTTATGGTTAGGGCAGGGTAGGGGTTAAGGTTGTCATAGTTAGCGTTAGCATTTTTCCCATTGAAATGAATGAGCGGTCCCCATAAGGAAAAACTCTATTTTATAAAAATCTGTGACTGCAATGAAAAAACTAAAAATGCAAAAACTCTTGTATTCTATTTGGTTAGTTATGGTTATGGTTAGGGCAGGGTAGGGGTTAAGGTTGTCATAGTTAGCGTTAGCATTTTTCCCATTGAAATGAATGAGCGGTCCCCATAAGGATATGTTTACCCTACATGTGTGTGTGTGTGTGCGTGAGTGTGTGTGCGTGTGTGTGTGCATGTCCTGTGACACACTGGCATCCCATCCAGGGTGGTTCTCTGCCGTATAATTATACTGTATAAATGGTATTGAAAATTGATGGGTAACATGTGAAGCTTGATTTGTATGATCAGTATTAAACATGCATTTCTCTCTGTATCCTCATACAAAGCCTTCAGGTTGAACATGAACCTTGTTATTACTGTGGAATGGATGGAACTCAAAAACACAGCCACATAGACGTTGATTAGGCCCATGCAGAACATTCTGGAACATCTAGCATTAAACTATCAACTGCTGTTAATCGAAAGAGCAAGTTGAGAAATATTAAGACTGGATCATGATAAAATGATCTTTAGCTGGTGCAGTAACTTTTTTAGCTCCACAAAATCTTATTCCCACAAAATTTTCCAATGTACTGATACAGAGCAGTGCTGGATCAATGCCACTTACATTTGACAATTAATTTGAAAAAATATTAAAATTGCAATGGTTAGCCCTTGTTTGCTGATAGGATTTGCAGACTAAATTGGAAGACAGCACAGTACAGTAGACAGCTCTACTTGGGGGCAGTGGTGGCTTGATGGTTAAGGAAGCGCACTTGTAATTGAAAGATTGCAGGTTTGAATTCCCAACCAGCAAGGCACCACTGAGGTGCCCTGAGCAAGGTACCGCCCCCAAGCACTGCTCCCCGGGCGCTGAATTAGCTGCCCCCTGCTATGTCACGAAAGTCACATATGGATTAAATGCAGAGGACACATTTCGTTGTTGTGCACTGTGTGCTGTGGTGTGTTGACAATGACCACTGATCACTAAATTCTAATTCTACTAAAGAGTAGTTAGAGGCAGAAGTCAGAAAAGGGTCTTTCTTATGGCATTAATAACTCTCCATGGAGATGTGGTGGATGAAAATAACATTCCCTCAGTGGATATTCATGAAGAAACTGAAAAAACTCCTCTCATGGAATTTTGTCAGGCACAGGTTGCTACAATTCATATCAACAAACTCTCAAGACAAGTAGGATCCCTCCTTGGCCCAATGGACCAGCACGCACTAGCATGACCTTGTTGTAATGTAAAGCTGAACAGCAGAGGAATCTTAATTATGGTGTGGCCCGAGCCTTCAATTACAAAGGTTTTGTATAATCTACACATCATCTTTCATCCAGTCTAGAGCCTAACAAGATGCCAAATATGTACATATAACATATTCATGCTTGCTCAGTGTTGGGATTATTTTCCTGCCTGGATTATTTTTGGATTATTAATCATATTTGTTCCTTTCATACCATACATATCATACATGATTTTAGATGACATAAGGAACTTAAGCGTGAAGTACTGGATTCAGCATGCAAAGCAGGAGTTATCAAGTGTTATCTGAGTTTTAACACTAAATAAATACAAAAATACATCATTTCTGTGAACATTGCAGCAGCATTAATTACAAAGAGTGCAAAATGTAGTCTGGAATAGCTGAAGTGAAAATAAGAGGACACACTGATTTAAGCATTTTGTAAGAATAACAAGTGCAATGGATGGAGCTGAATAATGCCCGCAAACTGAGACAGCTGCAGTCCTTGCCGTCCCTTCCTCAAAGAGACCAGGCACAGCACAGAGGTAACACTTGATATCCAGCATGATGCTTCTACTCATAACAGATCCTAACAACAACAACAGTGTCAATCAGCGTCCGTGATGAAAAACAAGTTCCCCAATGCACACTAAGTCCCATATTGAGATGTGCTATTCATAACAATGCATGACAATGAGCCATGGTTTATCTTTGAATTATGAAAAGCCATTTGCATTCATCACTGAATTTCCTAAGATGTACAATAACATTTCCACACCTCACTACTTATGAATGATGAGGAGTGAAAATTTAATATGCATGCGGTGGTCAAAATTATTACGGCATTATTACCATCAAACAAAGACAGAACAAATGATAAATTATATCTTTCATAATCGTAGCCATGCATCAAAAAGGAAGTTTTAACTTTTATCTCCCCATTTTTATGATTTCCATAGTTATTCTAATAATTTTGAAGGTCTTTGTTATTATATGGAAAACATTTTGATTTGACTTACAGTACCAGTCAAAAGTTTGGACACGGAAAGCTGCCTACAAAGGAGTGATACTGTCGCATCACATGACCTGACCACCTGACCTAAACACAAAAGAAATGTTTTTGGAGGAGTTTGACCAGAAAAAGCAGGCTCTGAGTGCACAGCACATATGTGGGAGCTCCTTCAGGACGGCTGGGAAAGCATCGAAGGAGGCCACCTCATGGGAGTGGCATAGCGGAGACTGCAGGTTCAGCCAGTGCCTGGAG